CGCTCACCAACCGCGACCTGCGCCACGCGCTCCTTCGCCTTGTCTGCTGCGGCCGCCGCCCCTGTGGCCGAGACTGGGGCGCCTCCCCGCGGTCCGGGAGCGCCGCTGGGGCTTCAGACGGACTGCACCGCTGGCTGCCCTCCGTCCAGGATGGCAGCTCCAGCCGCTTCGAACGCTCGTCGCCCCAGAGAGACGGACTGGACACCGGCGGCTCCAATGGCGCGCCCACAGCCGCCGGGACCCTGGTATCCGCACCCGCATCAGCCGCAGACTGACGCCGTCTGGCCCGCCATTACCATCCCTAAGAGGTGTTTTGCAGACTTTTTTATTTTTAAATAATAGAATTTATAGAAAAAGCAGCCGAAGATGGTGGAGGAAGAAGAGACATAGGGAAATGTATTTTATTGGCCCTAAACCCCACAACAATGAACAAAACAGACGAAAATCTCTGCCTTTGTGGAATTGACGTTCTGGTGGGGGCACAGGCAATACCGGAGTGAAGAAATAATGGAGACAGTTTCAGTGGCAATACAGCGATGCGAATGTGGTCAGAGGAGGCCTCTCTGCAGAGGTGGTAACGTGATGTGAGCTGAGACATTGCCCTGGGAATACCTGAAGCAAGAGCTCTTCCCGTGAGGGCACAGCAGGTGCAAAGTCCATGAGACTGGAACGTTCCTATGTGCTCTATGTCTGGAGCAACTGTGGAGGTGAAAGCGGGAAGAAACAAAGGCAGGGAGATGACAGCAGATCACTATGGGCTCAGGGGAGGACTTTACTTTTGCTCTAAGTGAGGTGGGACCCTTGGAGAGTTCTAGGTAGAGGAGGGTCTTGACTTGGTTCAGGTGTTCACAGATCTCTGTGTGAGGCTAAGGTGGAAGCTAGGAGAACAAGGTTAAAGTGACTGCACTGGCCCAGGGGAGTGATGAGGGGACACTGGATAGATTCTGGAAACAGCTGATAGAATTAATGAGGAATTGAGTGTGAGAGTGAGAAAGGAGGGAGTCAAGGACAGCTCTGCAGTTTAGAGGAGAGGACGCCAAAGACAGGACACCCTAAAATTTGACTCTGGGAATCTAAGCCAATTCTTATCTGAAACAAGATGTCTTTGAGTGTGGTGTCAGATCCTTCATAAAAAATAAAAATATAATAAAATAATAAGAACAATTACAGCTTATTGTGCCTGGCTAGGTGCCCCACAGTGGTAGGCTCAGGACACACCTTTTTCTCACCCTTACTGCTACCTTGCAAGGTGGGTTTCCTCACCCCGATTTGACAGATGAGGGAACTCTAAGCAGTGAGTACCTTGCCCCAGTGTCTGAGCCAGGATACTTGCCCGGGCTGTCAGGCTGTCAGGCTCCCGGGCTCTCAGGCACAGTCCTTGTGTCTGGCTCCTCCGGAGGGGTCTGATTTTCGGACGGGGGCGATACCAGGGCCCCGTTTGTGCCCATAAAAGGCTCCAGACGCTCTGGCCACGGTCCCCAGCTGTCCCCGAGCGCATTCCTGACCCCTGTACTGCATGGACGGCTGGTGGGTGACTGCGGGGGGATTGGGGGGGTGCAGCCGGGGCGCTTCAGGCTCAGACTGAGGTGCGCCATCTGGCGGCAGTCACAAAGAGCCGTGTGTTTTGCGGGCACTCACCCAGCCTGGGGGCTTGAGTCTCCACCGGCCACCCTCAGGTCCCAACAGGCTACACGCACGGGAAACCAACCTATTTTTGGAACACAAACACACTCAAGCCTGGGATCACGGTCCCAGGACTGGACCCAATTCCTCACCCGCCCTGGTGCCCCTAATCCCAGGTTCCTTTAATATCCCAGGGGAGCCTGAAGCTCACCCCATTGTTTGGCTGCTTGATGGCATGATGGTAGATTTATTCACTTGTTCACATTTTACAAAATTCAAAAAACACCAGGTCCCCTTGTTGGGCGTTATCACTGGGGATTCCTGGGAAACTCCCAGAGCTATCCTGTAGATAAATGAGCTGAAATGTAAATACATCTTCCCTCTTTTTACACAATTTCAGCACTGTTCTGCATCTTGCTTTGTTCACTTAATACTATATCCTGGAAATTGTTGCCCAGCCACAGATTTTTGTATCGTTTGGCTGCCTTAGTCTGCTCAGGCTGCCATAACAGACACCACAGCCTGGATGACTGAAATAATAAAATTTCTCACAGTGCTGGAAGCTGGAAGTCCAAGGTGAGGGTGCCAGCATGGTCGGGTGCTGGTGAGGACTCTTTTCCTGAAGAGCAGACGGTCGTCTTCCCATTGTGTGCTCTCATGGTGTAGAGAAAGCCAAAAGAAGCTCTCTGGTGTCCCCATAAGGGCACTAATCCCGTTATGGGGCCCCATCCTCATGCCCTCATCTAAACCAAATCGATTCAGTCCATAGCACTTCTTTGTTTTTTAAGTATTAAAGTAAATATTCATACAGCAAATGTCTTGCTCCTTTTCACTGACTGCATAGTTATTGCCCAGCATGGATGTGCCACCACTGAACTACTACACGGAGGGACCCGTGGGTTGAGTCCAATTCTTTGCCTTTATACACAGCACTGCAAAACACATCGTGTACACGTATGTGAGTATACCTTAGGCTTAGATAAATCTCTACAAGTGGGACTGCTGGGTCATGGGCCTGTAGGTTTGATTTTGAGATATGAGAGGTTGCCTCAAGGAGGATGCGCGTTTTCCCACAGCCTCCGCCACTGCCAGTTATTTACAGACTATGGTATAGCGTCCCCCTCTGGAGGGGTCCAGAACCGCAGACTCACGCAACTGGGAAGGCGGTGGAAGAGGGGTACCCCACCACATGACCCCGAGAGGGTTTAATCCCAGACTCTGAGCAGGGACACTGAATCCTCCAAATTCACTCGGGAGGCTGGCGGAATTCTTTCTTAGACCTTCCTTTGCGTTTCCATTTTTCACTTAATTTTCATATAGGACTCTTTAAAAAATAGCCTTAAATACATTTATTTAAAGGTTAACGTTATATCATAAACAGTATAAGTGGCAAGTCAGTATTCCTTGCCATGAAAAACAGCAATCGTTAACATCTGTTAGGCGCTAGTATTCGTATTTAGTGCTCCCGGTAACCTAGGAGGTGCTAGCATTATTATCACCTCAAAGGGAGGAAACTGAAGCATGGAGAAGTGAAGTTACAGGCCCATCCTGCACAGAGCTAGAGAGGGTGGCACGGCGGGACTTCGAACGCCCCGCAGGCGAGCTTGACGCATCTCTACGTTGGAGATAACTAAAAAATAAAGACAAAGAAACCCCAACTGGATAGATAATTCTCGCTGGATCCTGCGGCCGCCGACCGTGAGGCCTGCATTGAAGAGAGAAGAGCAGGTCATAGAGAGCAGTCCCGCGCTGAGACGACGAAATAGGTCGAATGGAAGGGACAATGCGAAGGGGTAACGGGCTCTCTTGGCCGTGCGCCCTCGACCGACGCCCTGCTCCTCGCCCATGGGCTCGGGGCACCTACGGGAAGGGCGGGGAATCGCGGCTCCTTTACCGCCGCGCCCTCTCCCTGCCTCCTTCCTGGGCGTCCCGAGGCCAACCCCCACCCGACGGTCGCGACCCCTCAGGCTTTGCCGCCCGAGAGCCGAGGTCCCCAGACAGCGGAGGCGCCCGCGGGTTCCGGATAGCGAAGGTTAGGCGGGAGCTGTCCCCGGCTGGGCTGCGGCCCCTCGGGTTTCCCGGAAGCTCGGCGAGCGGGTGGCACCACAGTGCCCAGAGCCGCCGCCGTGTCCCAGGTATCCCCGCCCCGCGGCGAGAGCTACCGAGGCTACGCTGGGGCAGAGGTGAGCGCGCCGGCGGCGGCGGCGAGGAGTGTCCACGGATGCTCCGTGCGGGCAGGGACGGGCCTGGCCTCGAACCCGGGGCTCCGATTCCCGCGGAGCAGATCGCGCGGCTTGGTGCGCCGAGGGCTGCGGTCCCTGATCCCGCCGCGCTGCAATGACGGATGCTGTGGTCGCGGCACTGGGGTTGCGCAGCTTGGCGACAGCCGGCGGGGTGGGAGAGGGGGGAGAGGGCCCTGTGCCAGCCCCGCCGCTGGAGGCCCGGGACCGCGGGGACTTTTATTCTGACACGGCAAGCGCCAGGCTCTGCTTAGTCATGGTGACCTGCGCGCGCTCCGCGCCTCCCTCCGCCGCCCCCCCCCTTCCCCGGCGCAGCGATGGAGGCATCGGGGCCTGGGCGACGGAGGCGGAGCCCGAGCGCGGCCATGGCGGGGTGAGTGAGCGGCCTGCGCCGGGGCTGCGGAAACGGCGGGCCGATAGCGCCCCTGCGGCTGTGCCTGGGGGCCGGGGGACGCGGCGCCGCGGGCCCGGTTGTCTGGGGGTTCCTGTGGTCCCCCGGAAGGCCAGGAGGGCGCGGCTCGAGTTCCATCCTTTTGTTGGACGGCGCGACTCGCGGGTGGCCCGGGAACCACACTAGCCGGACGAGAAGCCCGGGGAGCGCCGCTCCGACGGAGGCTCGGGGACCCCGGGGCGTTGGGAGGCTTGATCTGCGCCCTGGGATTGGCAGTCAAGAGGCCGCGGTGGGGTTGCTTCCTCCCTTTCTCCAGGCCTCGGTGGCGGCTCAGGCGGGGCATGCGCAGTCCCCCACCTAGTGCTTTGTGAGGGAGAGTGCCCAGTGCCCAGGGGGCACCGTTGACCGATTGGCCAAAGACCAAGAGGCAGACCCGGGGCCTTGGCTGGGGAGAGGTGGACAAGCGGCGCCCCGGGGCGGGTGAAAGAAGGTGCTCTGGTAGGCATAGTGGAGTGGGCAGTCAGCCAGTCATACCTTACTGACCCCTGTGCAGAGCCGGGCCCCAAGCTGGACGTGAGGGAGGCACATGAGAGGGTCGGCACAACCCTGACCTACACAAGGCTCCCTGCCCTCTGAAGCGCTGGGGCTGAGGGCCGGAGGGATGGGTCACTCCTCAATAGGCAAGCAAAGAAGCTTATTTCATTCAGTTCCTGACAAGTGCAGTGATGGAAATAAAACTGGAAGGTGATTCTATGCTGAGCCTCAGAAAGATAAGATGGAGAACCGGGGAATCCTCTTGCAGATCTACCCCCCCCTTCTCCCTGCAGGACCTTTCAAAACACAACTCATGCTCCAGCCCTCTAGACTCCACAAGTTTCATGGAAACCCTCCCTTCAGTAGTCATTATCTGTCATTACACACCTCCCTGATTCTCCAGATTGTCTCTCTCATTCTGCTTCTGAGCCTTTGCACTTACTGTTCCCTCTGCCTGGAAAACTAATTCCCACCCCACCCCCTTTCATATGTTCATCCTTCTTGTCTCAG